GCCAGAGCACTGTCCTTGGAAGTGCATCTGTTTCTACCTTCTGAAGGTCTGAGTTCAGGATTGCCTGTTTCCTTCAGTGGTTAATGGCATGGCAGGTGACTAAAGTAATATAAAACTTAATGGATTCCATTCTGCGGCTTAGGTCTTTGCAATCAGTTGCTGAAGGCTAAAATGCAGATGCCTCGGGTCTTTTCTCTTGGAAAACATTTTAGTCCACTTCTTAAACTGGAGCCTCAGGAGATACGTTTGACAATTGTAGCAGTTGTAGAACATGAATGTTGCTGTCTCTATAGTGTGTTTGCAATTAATTTTCTATTTTAAAAGCAACATTGTTCTACCAGATGATAACCTGCAGCTGATATGTGACTTGGATTTTGCATTACAAGTCTGCTCCAGTCAGGTGGCAGAACAAATCATTTCCTTGCATGAGATTTGTAGGCTGAAGTCTTCATTCAGGAACGGTGGTGGCTGAAGCATTCTGTGCTCCCCTATTTTCACCTGCTCCTTCTCGTGTGAAAACAAGAACGAATGGTTGTAACAATCTGGACAGTTGTGTAGGATGGGATGCGCTGAAATCAGTGGACTGCTTTGTGCTCTTGAATTTCTTATTCCTCTGCTTGTAAATATGTTCTTATTTTAATGGGACTGACTATGGACCTGAGTCACCACCCTGCAACACCAGCTGCATGTGGGTGTAACTTTCTTGGTCTCAGTGGATTTCTGTTAGTACAAAAACTGGAATGATGCAGTGATGAATCAGAAATAATGTGCTCTTTTGCTTCCTGGGACTAAATCTTCAACTGGAGTAAACTGGCATAGCTCTATTGACTTTTGAGAGCAGCATGGATTTATACCAGCTACAGACCAGACCCCTGAGACCCCAAGTGCTTTTGTCCCACTTGGGGGAGTGGCCGTCCTGCATGCAGTCACAGGCGAAAACGTTGGTGATTAGGTCCCTATAAAGGTGGCCCTCCATTGCAGCTAGTGGGAAAGCTGCAGCATGTCAGATTGTCATTGCGATGAGCACTCCCTCCTTTATCTGCTATGCTCCTTGTCCATTTTCTTTATTTCCTTGTGAAAATTGTGACCTGGACTGGAGCAGAGGGACAGTCATATGGAAATACTCAATTGCTGACCAGTAACAGGGTCTCTTTTTTTTTTTTTTTTTTTTTTTTTTTTAACCTTTCCTTTTCAGTGTGCTGTTGACCTCCCAAACTACTGTCGTCCCACTGTTTTGTTTTTTTTTATAGTAGATAGTTCTCTCAACTGTACATAGCTGGACATGCTGAGTTACTCCTGCCTGACTTGCAGGGCTTTAGTCTGCTGCGTCTAGTGACTGATGGCCAGATCCCCTTGCTTTTCCAGCTCTGAAATGAGTCAGAAAACTTTGAATGGCCCCAGTCATGGGCATGTAATTGAAATTTGTGACTCCTGATTAACAGCCACTGCATCAAAGGGAGAATTTATTTATTCGCATGGTTACTTGGACCGAACAAGAACATCAATTATAAATAAAATGGGAAATGGGTGCTCTCACTTCATTCATGCAGCTATTTTAAAACAATTAGCAAGGGCTTGTTTTACACCACGTTTCACATTTCAGGATTTTGATTTTTAAGAGTGTAGATCTCTCCCTCTTTTTTCTCTGTGATGTTAATATGTGCATTCTGCCTTTCCTTTTGTGCAACGTGAAGGATTTAGACTCGGTCAATGAGGTAGGATGCCCATTTTATAGCTGGGCAAAGCCACCTACATAGAGGACCTCCGTGAGGTACCTATGATTATTTTTCAGATCTGGTTTCCCATTGCAGGGTAAGATTAATTGTCATTATTTCAGTGGGAGGGTTTCCTCATCCTACAGTGAAAAAACAAAACTCCAAGAGTCCTTATTCCCAGGTATCTCCAAGATCCTGGTCCCATCTAGAGTGAAGGAGCTGACGTCAGTCCATATGGCAGGCAGGCAGCAGGGCATCCTTAGGGGTTTTTCTTGACCTTTCTCTTCCTCTCCTGGGACTGGAGAGGTCAATTCTCTTCCTTAGTATTTTTGCTCGTAATGGATCCCTATGTCAATATACACTTAACACAGAAATGCATCCTCTAAGAATGAACATCAAAGGTGTTTGCTGCAAAACCTAAGGGCTTCCTTCTGTAATCCCAGCAGAGCTTACACAGCACATTGTGGCATCTGGGTTAAAGGCATCTTGTAGAATTGTTGTTGTTTTCCCATTCATTTTACACCTAAAAAATGTCTAAAACTAGAGGAGCTTGGTACTGGGGGATATAAGCTGTGCTGAGCAGCATAACATGGCAGTCAAAGAAAAGACCGTGAGCTTGAAATTCATTTAAATGGCTTTCTCATTGGCCATACGAATGTCATGATGATTCTGACAAGAATAGGGAAAGGCAGGATAAGTGACCCCAGGAGATTTGATTTGCTGGGTTGACAGCTTCTTAACTTAATCTCAGCTGAAGGGAGGCAGCAGTACCAAGCAGTGAAAGGGAATGGAAAAGTCCCCATAAAGCTGGGCAGAGTAACTTTTGTTTTGGGGAAAGTTTCATGGATGTTAGGGGCTGGAAAGGACTTCAAGTGATGGCTTTTAAGATTTTTGCCACCTGAGATTAATCCAAATGTAGCCTCCAGGCCGTGGTGGTGGAATACTGTACTACTCTGTACATGACCTGGGAGAGGTTGGGGTACTTCAGGCTGCTGAGTTCAGTTCCCAAGTGGTCTCAGCCGTGATGCGAAGCGCTCTTTATTCATTCTGTGGAATCTCCACCTGTAAATAAAGTTCTCCGTTCCAAAAAGGGGAAATAAATCAAGTCAAGCAGATGTCAGTGGGAACTGTCAGTCCCTTCCAGAAAGCCATGCGACTGCAAGATTTCTGTGGGTGGCAAATAAATCATTTTGCTGGCTTTTTGCATACTCTTAAAAACAGGACAAGCAGTGCTGAGACAGTAACTCTTTCTCAGGCTTTTCTAGCCTCTGAATAGGATTTCACCTCTTACCTGTCATGTCAGGCTCCATGTTCTGTGCTCTTACTTTCTCTGACTGCAAAATCTCTCCTTTATAGCTTTCCCTGCATTCTTAAAACCACCTGGTTCTTCCATATTTATGGCTTTAAAAATGCACTTGTATTTTTTCACACGGAGGATGTAAGTCACTGCAGCCAGTGTTGTGTAATTGATACCATGGGGCATTTTTACAGCCTGGACTTCAGTTGTGGTTCTGTCTGCCGTGCAATGTAGACTCATCCAAGCTAGTTATCAAACTGTCTAATTCAGGAACCGGTAGCTGTCCAGCTGCTGCAACTCGGTTATTCTTCTCAGGCAGATTTTGCAGCTTGCTCTGAGCTCCTTACTGCAGCCTGTACATCGCAACTGGCACCTAAGCCCGATTTGTTCAAAACCAGCTTGGTTATGTCTGTACCGCATTACAGCTGCAGCCAGGATTGCACCCAGAGTGTGTCAGCTATAGCAGCTGGAGTTGTACGCCATAAATCCCTGCTTGTTGTGTACAAGTTGCACCATAATGCATCATACTAGACCCTCCTCTTGCTGGGCTGCAAGAGGAGCGGATGGAAACGGGGCTCTTCACCTCTAGAGATGGGTCAAACCAGGGTTATCCAACTGTGGTTTTTAAAACCAAGCCCAAGCTTGGTCCATGGCTGCTCTGACTCCGTTCTTCCCTGCGGTGAGATTGAGCGATACTTTTTGTTCTGCTTAGGCTCTGTGTCCTTATTGACAGCACCCTAACCCCGCTCCTTACCAAACTTAGAAACAGCTGTAGTGGAGCGGAAGTGGACGTCTGCCTTGGCTTTCATGCTTTTCAAAGCCTGGGCCTTTACATATAACCACAAGGAAGAGGAAAACAGGACTGACTTTGTCCAGCAGGAAAGTACCTGTCAGGACTTTTCCAGAAATCAATAGCCAGATGCAGTGTGTCCTGTTAACAGCACAGTTCATTTAGCAGCATCTGACAGGGCCTTTAGTATAGATGGCCATTTATAGGAATTAGTTGCAACTCTTTCAAGCTCTTCATCCATAACTGATGGCTGGGCCTCACCTGTTCTCCTTTTCGTTAGGCCAGAGGGAACCTCATCTGTGTTGGCATGCCTTGGGAAGAATGGAGAGAGTTGCATGAGAGTAACTCAATCATCCAGCCTGAAACGAGTCCCATCTACAACTTGCACCGTAGCTGCTCAGACCTAGGTCTTATGTCCTGGCAGGGTACCTACCTACTCCAGTTTTGAAGATCTTAGTCTGCCTGGAAGCTTTGGAAGGGCTTGTAGAGGAAGAAAGCAGCTTTAAAAAGTTAGTTTTATCATGTGTGCATAAGGTGGCCATTTTACCTCATTACCATAATGTAATTTTGTGCCTAAATAATGCTTTTTAGACATAAGTCTTGAAGATCTTTGCACAGGTGGCATACTAACATCTCCATTATACAGGCCTTGCCTATGTAAAAGCATATGTATTGTATGCTTTACGTCAGTGCAAATCCCCATTATAAACAGGCTGCACCAGTGCAAAGTGGGGCTTATATCAGTACAGTCAAATTGAAGTTTAAATGACTAAATAATGCTGTTGGCGCAAACCAACCTGGATGTTTGTTTTCTTTGTGTAGCTAAGGATTTAGGATTTGAATTAAGTCAGGCTAAGTGACTTGACAAAAAGTGTACTGTAAAGCAGTGTCTTGAAAGATGCTACCTATATAATCTTCGTAGGATTCTGGAAAAGAACAAGATACTACATATTGCATTCTTTCACCGCATATTAAATTGTCATTACTTTTATGGAAATGATCCTAAAACTTACTAGCATTGGTACAAGTAAATGAAGTAAAATATGTTCTGAAATATATTAGATGTTTATCCTTGGTCCTGGATCTCAGTAATGGCTGGATGGGTCTTTACATAATCACGGTGTGACCCTGCTTAGGGAGCATAATGGAAAATACCGTTGTATAATGGATCATTTAATTTTTTTCTTTTTTCTGGCAGGGTGTGGGCACTGTAAGAAAATGAAGCCAGAATACGAGAAGGCTGCAGAGTCCCTCCATGTAGCCAATGATGTAAGCTAATCTTTTGTCCTTCCCCTCACTTCTCAAATAATGATTAATAAATGACTGAAGTAATAAGAATTACTTTCCTTTTCCCCCCTACACCAGTTTTAGCTGTTCTCATCCTCCCACTGGGCCCTCCGAGATGCGTTTGCAAAGCACAGTCTCATCGGCAATGCGTGAGCCCTGCCAAAGTCTTAGAAAGAACATTCTGTCTTAAATGAAAACAAAATCGCAGTGTTGATGTATTCCGCTGTAGGGCCTTACTTATACATAATGTGATCAAACCCAAATACAAAGTGGAAAAGTTTTTCTTTCCTATTAATTACAGGCCTCATGTGAAATGCAGATGTTAAACAAACATGGGCTTTTATTTACGAAGTAGATTTAAAAGTCTAACGGGCTTGTTCTTCCTTCTGTGTACGTTGGTTTTAGACTGATGTTGCACTGACTTCGACACAGTTGTTCCTCATGAACGTCAGCATGTTTAATGGGAGAATAGTCGTTGCTGCTTTTTACAACAATGCCGACTGAATCAGTATCTACTGTTGACTCCCCTACATGAATGACCCATTGACAGCTGGGTTACCTGGTGTAGGGGCTACCGTCAACTAAGTCCAAAATGGGTTCATATTCATGGCTTTGGTGCCATAGTGAGATGCGTTTGCCTCTCTGCCACAGTGCCTCTACAGAGTGGTTAAATCTCTCGCATTTCACACTTGGGGAAAAATCCTGACCATCGGTAGTCATAGATTCATAGATGTTAGGGTCGGAAGGGACCTCAATAGATCATTGAGTCCGACCCCCTGCATAGGCAGGAAAG